GATGAACATGCTGGCAGATGCGTTTTACAAATTATTCGGCACATCACCTGATGAAGCTAGGAAGGAAATTGGACAAGCCTATTTTGACTGTCTGAGCCTTGGAGGTAGGTTTTCAAGTGACTCTACTGCTTTAATCGGTGGTCTCAATGCCAGCCCATTGCATCTGGTCATCCACTTCCTTGTTGCTGTTACTCATGGAGTTGGTCATCTACTGTTGCCAATTCCATCAGTCCGGGGATTACGTGGTAGTGCGAGACTGATTTCTGTAAGTAGTGAAAGTTTCTAGTTTAGTTTAGCTGCTTAAATGTTCTTATGAGAAGTTGAGGACTCATTTTGTGCTGCTTCCTTTTATTTCAGGCTGCTGCAGGTATCGTTCTCCCCCTCATGAAAGCAGAAGGGTTTAGGCAAACGTTCTTCCCAGCTACTTTTCCTGCATATTATAGAGATCCTCCTGCCCAACTGAAACAATAAGAAGATGGATGGCAGGACAGGTCAAGCCCAGTATGGTGCAGTTTCTACCTCCTTATTTATGCATATGTGCCATGGTCCATGGTTTATTCGTGGGAATGTATGTGATGTATATTGGGACTATGTGTGTGTATGTATGCTGAGATCTCTGATTAGTGTTGTGAAGACAAAACCTTATAAAACATACGCAGTGATGATGTGAATTAAGCTCCCAAATTATCTGTCTCCATATCGAAATTGTCATTGTTACCAGCTTGCTTGCTTGCTTGCGAAAAATCTACGCCCAGAGGATTCAAGACTAATCGTTCCAGTGTCCAGCATAATCGGTGTTGTGTTTATATATCCATCACCAAACTAGTAACAGTCAGCATAAGAATTTATTATTTTATACAAATTTTAATATTAAAATTTAAAATTAAATAATAATAAATTTAATGCTAAAATATGAACTAAAATATCTCTAAATTGATCGATGATCGGTAACAATAAAAATATGCTAAGAAATTTTATTATAATTTGACTTCATTTCTATTGATCGATCGATAATTAGAATCCAATTATATTTATAATATATCTTATTTAATTTTAAAAATTATTTAATAATATATTGTACGATAAGTATTTCCCGTGATGCAATTATAAAATGATAGACTTTGACATCAGACGAGAACAAAAAAATAGAGGCATGGATGTTTATCCTTAACGATTAGGAGCTGTTATGATAGAACAGTAAATGGTCCTGCAGAAAAGACATGGAGGCAAAACTTATTGATCCATCCAAGAATCCATCAATCAACATGTAACTCAAGTGGGAGGAAGAAAACAAGCTGCAGACCATCTTAATACCTACACAAGTTTTATCACCACAAAAATGCTGACATCTCCCTCGTGGAAGCAAAATCACAAACAATTTCAGTCCTCTGGGATCATGTTTGGACGGTTGACTAGATTTTCCTGATCAGAGATTTATGTTCATTCATGTCTTTTGTAGTTCCCATGTCCAGTAATATTTTAATAACTCTTGCTTGGGAAGATATTTGGAATTCTACATGCCCATTTTTCTATTCTGATGGATGGATGTATGGATGGATGGATGCTCTTTAGTCGTAGCCTACATCATTCTGGAAGTTAGGTTCTTCTTCGTATCGAATTTGAGTTGTATGAGAATGATCGTATACAAGTATGTCTCGATTTTGTTACTTTTGTTTGTTGTTTGCAGTGCACACCTTATTTATAGGGAGTAATCTTTCGATCAATGAGTCTCTCAAGTAATTGTTCTATGAAAGCCAACATAAAGTAATTTATTTATAGAGAGTAGTAATCGTTCTCGTTAAGATTCATAATTTATTTTCATATTTTTTTATTTATTATGGTTTAAATATTTTATTTTTTTATTCGTTATAAATAAAATTATTATTATTAAATATTTTATTTAATATCATTAAAATTTATTATTATGATTCAAACGTTATAAATTTGAATTAATTTTTGACCGTTATAAGTTGATAATAATAAATATTTTTGATGGGAGAACATCTATATAAACGAAGATTTTGGTCCTTGGACTAACATCTCTTTGAGGTCTAAAGGATTTCTTACACCATCTAAAGCGAGAATTCTGAACCGAAAAATATCAAAGTTCAAGAAAAAATTCTTGACAATGGCCGGAGATACACTATTTCATTTTCACATTAGTTTACATATATTTTTATTATAATGATTTAAAAATATATTTTGGTATCAAAAAATATCTAAGAAGCCAAGCAACGAAGCGAATAACCCACCCATGAATAGGATAAGCAGTGGGAAATTGCTTGGTGCGATGATTTGAATCACCTAGGAAACATCCGTAATCATCCAAAATTACGGATTTTTTTCACCTAAGAAACAAATTCTGGCCCTCCAAATTGTTCCCTTTTGTTCTGATGATTCCATTGCAATCTTTCTCATATGCTCTTCTCATGTTCCAATCATCCAAAATTGTCATGAACTTGACCTCCAGTTTTCTATCCAAGTCCTATTATTCCTCCCATCTAAGATTGGGATTCCACCATCTCCATGTGAACCGATGTGCTCATTGTAACTCTTTGGCTGACTCCAGAAACGCCACCGCTTCATATCACCGCCCACCGCCCACCGCCCTGCCGAAATGATACGTGGATACGACTGGGGGTGGTTGAGATCTGACAATCGGACGCCACGTGGCGATATTGGCGACGAGTTTTAATAATCGATATAACTGTCAGACCTTTTTATCGCTATAACTTCCTATAATCGACGAGTTTTAATAATCGATATAACTTCCGCATTGAGGAAAGAGCGTCGCAACGTTAGGTTAAGGTAAGAGCGGCGACCGATATCCCTCTCCCTATTTATAGGTGTGGTTCGCGACGACGGGAGGGAGTAGGGAAGCGACACACGGAGACTGGGTGGGAGAAGGAGATGGAGGGAATGTACCCATTGGGAGTCATCGCTGCTTCGATCCTAGCGTTTCTCCTCCTCCTCGGGATCCATGGACGTTGGGGGAAGGGCCGGAAGGCCACTGGAAAGCGCGATTCCGGCGCGGTGGCCGCCGGATTTGGTGGACCCGATGTTATCGTCGTCGGCGCCGGGGTCATCGGCTCCGCTCTTGCTTATGCGCTCGGGAAGGTGACGTCTCCTTCTTCTTTTATCGCCATTAAGCTTCCCAATAGTTATTAGCTGAGCAGCCAAAACTAGGATTTTTAGTCGATGCCAACATCACCACCCACGTAGCTATCTGTGTATTTATAGCTTGATGAGGGAAAGGTAAACCGGAATCGTAACGTACAGAGCGGCTTCATGATTCTGATTGTGCAGGATGGTAGATGTGTGCATGTCATCGAGAGAGATTTGGCTGAGCCGGACACAATTGTTGGTGAAGCCTTGCAACCTAGAGGTTGCCTAAACTTATTTGAGCTAGGGCTCGAGGGTAAGGCACCCGGCTGACCACTTGGAGAATATATTTGAATGATTAGCTGCAATTTTGGCCGTCATGCTTGCGATTTCATACTCGTCCATTAATTTTGTGCACTGTAGATTGTGTCGACGAGATCGATGCTCAGCGGGTCCTTGGCTATGTTCTTTACAAAAATGGGAGACTCGCCAAACTCTCAATATCTCTGGAGAAGTATCATGTAGATGTTGCTGTCAGGTGCTTCCATCATGGGCGTTTCATCCAAAGATTGCGAGAGAAAGCAGCGTCCTTGTCCAGGTTATCTATCATCTATTCTGAAACTTTCTACTATCGTAGTGATACTCTTTTTTATTTCCTCGATCATACGAGACATAGGTATACTGTTCGGTTGAATGATGTTATACCTTATATGAGATATATGAAGCAATTTTCTATTGATTAGCTGTCATCTTATCATTTTTTGTTTTTTGTTTTTTTGCAACATTCATTTAGCCTTAGACAGAATTCTACTAAGTCTAAGATTTTGTTTGATGCCAAAAACTTTCCTTTAGATATCTTTTCATTTAAGAACCTGATGTTATAAAATTCAGCAGTTTGGTATTGATCGAATACTTAGTCCAACTCGTAAAAGAGGCTGCATGTGGTTTATTATGAAATTTAACAGTTCAACATCGATCGAACACTTTGTCGAACCTCGAATCTGTAAAAGAAGGTTTTTTTTGTTTTGTTTTTTGTGCAAAGGATAAGTGGTGATGATAGGATTTGATCCTTGAACATTGTTAGCTAACATATTCATAGAGGCTTTTGTTAATGATCAATCCATATGAAGCTTTGAGTAAGGCATTCAAGGCGCCCTGCATCATGCTTAATTTTCAGTTACTAATTGAATAATTGAATTTTAAAAAAAGGATGTATCAGTAGGTCAATTATTGGAAAAGAAAAGTACTAAAGAAATAATCTTCAATATCAGTAAACGCTTTTCCTATACTATACTATTCAGCTATCGACATTGAGCTGATTAGATGGATCAGATTAGGTACAATGATGCTGGTACACTGAAGCATGATCAGATTAGGCAACACATTTTTCCTGTTACTCTTAATACTGGTACAATGAAGCATCATTAGGATGCAAATCATCACTGTTACATAAACTAAATTTCATATACATTTCAAGACTTTTTGCTTCTATATTTCTTTAAAAGAAATTAAAGTTCAACCCCTTCTTTTCCAGTGTTCAGTTGAAGCAGGGAACTGTAACATCCTTGATTAAAGAAGACGGAATAGTTAAGGGGGTAGTTTACAAGACTAAATCTGGTAAAGAATCGAAAGCTTTTGCACCTCTTACAGTTGTATGTGATGGCTGCTTTTCGAATCTGAGGCACACACTCTGTTCCTCCAAGGTAAAAATAAATAGAGAACTTGAAGTTTCTTTTCTTTTTCATTTCTCTCTTCTAATAACTGCATTTATTCATTATAACAATTTGCCAAAAATTTCACCAGAAGTATCTCTTTTTGACATTCACTTGTATTTTGACAAGAATTTGTACACGTAAGCTGTGGTTGTAGCACTGATAAATTTCATTCTTACAGGTGGATGTACCTTCTTATTTTGTTGGTTTGCTTTTGGAGGACTTTCAACTTCCATTTCCGAACTATGTGCACTTTATCTTAGAGGATCCTTCAGTAGTATTGTTCTACTCAATAAGTAGCACAGAGACTCGCTGTTTGGTTGATGTCCCTGGGCAGAAGGTTCCTTCTATTGCGAATGGTGAAATGGAAAATTATTTGAAGACTATTGTGGCACCTCAGGTACTTTTGAGTGAGCATTGCAAATTAAGATGATGTCTTGTCGCATTAAGGAAATTTCTGTGCAATTATTGTTGTGAATTCTAGCATTCTGGTTAATCCAGGTTCCGACTGAGCTGCGTGATGCTTTTGTTGCGGCCATTGATAAAGGAAACATCAGAACTATGCCATGCAAGAGCATGCCAGCTGATGCTCATCTTACACCCGGAGTCCTCTTGATGGGGGATGCATTCAATATGCGCCATCCCCTAACTGGTGGAGGAATGACGGTGGGCTTATCTGATGTAATCGTGCTACGTGATCTTCTTAGGCCTCTCCATGATCTCCATGATGCTGCTGCTCTCTGCAAATACTTGGAATCTTTCTACATTTTGTGGAAAGTAAGACAAAAGTGTTGTCCTTGTTTGATGCTGTGCTGCAGACTCTCTATGTTGTGCATCATACATATATTCCTTTTTCCTTCCTTTGCAGCCGGTTGCTTCTACAATGAACATGCTGGCAGATGCGTTTTACAAATTATTCGGCGCATCACCTGATGAAGCTAGGAAGGAAATTGGACAAGCCTATTTTGACTGTCTGAGCCTTGGAGGTAGGTTTTCAAGTGACTCTACTGCTTTAATCGGTGGTCTTAATGCCAGCCCACTGCATCTGGTCATCCACTTCCTTGTTGCTGTTACTCATGGAGTTGGTCATCTACTGTTGCCAATTCCATCAGTCCGGGGATTACGTGGTAGTGCGAGACTGATTTCTGTAAGTAGTGAAAGTTTCTAGTTTAGTTTAGCTGCTTAAATGTTCTTATGAGAAGTTGAGGACTCATTTTGTGCTGCTTCCTTTTATTTCAGGCTGCTGCAGGTATCGTTCTCCCCCTCATGAAAGCAGAAGGGGTTAGGCAAACGTTCTTCCCTGCTACTTTTCCTGCATATTATAGAGCTCCTCCTGCCCAACTGAAACAATAAGAACATGGTGATGGCCAGGACGGGGCCAACCTCAGTGTCTACCTTCTTCCCCTTATTTCTGCATATGTGCCATGTCCATGGTTTATTCGTCGGAATGCATGTGATGTGTATATATATGTATATATTTGTATATATTGGGAACATATGTGAGAATATACTAGTATTGGGATTATGTGTGTATATGTATGCTGAGATATCTGTATAAAACATATGCAGTGCTTATGTAAATCAAGCTCCCAAATTATGTGTCTCCACAACAAGATTGCATCGCTGCCACCAGCCTGCTTGCTCGTAAAAATATACCCTCCAGGGGATTCAAGATCAATTATTCGAGCGTCCGATCGTATTGCATGATAATTATTCCCCATCAAGGATTGAATGATTAAATGATAAGACCTGACATCAGATGAGCACAAAACACGAGAGGCACGGATGTTTGCCCTTCTGGACTGGGACCAGTTATGATGTAGCAGTACATGGTCCTGCATAAGACATGGAGGCAAAATTTATCGATCCATCCAAGAATCCGTCAATCAACATGTAACTCAAACAAGCTGCAGACCATCTTAATATCTACCCAAGTTTCACAGAAATGCTGACATCTCCCACTCTAGCAATCGAAGGATTGGACAAGAAATTAGCTAGCAATCGAAGAACTTGTACAAATGATGCTCTGCCATCAAGGAGTGACGCTGTTATTGCTCAGGACCAATTTTGTTCTCATGTCATATACAACCCAAATAAAATGAGCCCATCCACTTCAGTTGCTCCAATGCATCTAAGGATGAATTCACAATATCATATTGCCTCGGTTTGATATTCCACATGACTAGCTTGAAGTGAAAGATCCAACCATTGTCAAGGGTGAAGATGCACGCATGCGGGATGCATCACAAACTAAGATATTGCAATATGTTATCGACGAACAGCGCTAGTGAAGGTTGACTCATACAGCAAAATAATACTACTCGGTCGATAAATTTAATATGTATCTCGGTCATGAGTGTTCCAACAACTGCAAAGAGTCGAACTAAACTGGTTACAGATGAGGGCAATGTATTTATTCTTTGAAGTCACTATGAAGCTCCTAGTTTAACTTCATTGTCCAACCCATCTTGTCCTCTGTAAGGCCCATCTGTAAACTGGTAAGTGAAGAGTAGACCTGTTGAGACACAACCCCGATTCCGTTGTTCTTGTACTCAACCCTGCATCAATTTAACACAGCAAGATAAGACGACTGAACCAAACAGCATTGAGAACTATTGGAAGTGGCAGACAATTAGGTACATGAGCATATAGAGAACAGGTGGAAGACAATTATCAGAATGGAAGTGGCAGGAAGTGACCGTGAAAAGCCTTCCGAGATACAGAAAACCAGCTTTTAAGGCAAAAGGAATAATAAAAAAGATGCACCACACCGATCTCAAATAATTAGGCAAAGCTTGACTAACATCAGAATTAATGCGCTTCTTCAAGAATATGGCAGAGTAACCACAAAACTGAGAAACCAAAAGGATATCTAAGAGGCTCCCTCCAGTGAATATCCTGTTTCAGATCTTCAAACATCTAAAGTAGAAAGCAACCTCAAAAGTTTTATCCCTAGATCCAATTGGTAAAACATATAATATATCCGGTATCAAAAGAAGAATGGAACTACAAGAGAGATAGAACATACTTTCTTCCCAAATATGTTATACTTCCCACAGGAGAAACAACAACTGCCGTTCCCGTACAAAAAACTTCATCAGCATCAAGCAGTTCTTCCACTGACACAAGACGCTCCTCAACCTGCAAAGTTGTATGACTACCATGAGGAGAAAGGTATAATGATTATGAAAAAGACAATATTTTTTATTATAATACTATCATCGGGCAACTACATATTCACAAGTTGGTTAAAAATTCTGCTTTAGGAAAAGAATAAATTGAGCAGAAAAAAAATAATAGATTCAACTAATATCAACAAACATAAATGATTAATAATTAACTAAATCTATACCAACTTCAATATAAGAATGCTCAAATGGAGGCAGAAGGAAAAAAGAAGCAAAAAAAAAAAAGCAACATGAGGATTTTTAACATATATATTCAACCCTGAACCTACAAAAGTAAGCACAATTGTTTTCTTTTTTCCATCAAGCTATTATGTGAAGCAATGAACACACCAAAATCCTTTTATGAAGTATGTAAAAGACAATTGGACTCAATACCTGATAGCCTTGACCACGAGCAACATCAATTATACTTTTCCTTGTAATGCCTGGCAATATTGTTCCTTTTATTTCTGGTGTTGAAATGATTTTGTTCTGTCAAAGAAAAAGTCATTCAATGTCATAAAAATTTGGACTGCCTGCAACAATAGTGCCCGAAGAAGAAAAGATACTGTCCAAAGCAGCTTACTAAAAGATTCTATAGTCAACTGTCATCCATGCACAAGAAGAAAGATAAGCTTTGTCACTGATTATCACAAGAATTGACAAAGCAAATTTCAAAAGGAATAAAGAATATATAGAAGAGTTTAATATTTAAAACAACCAAAGAATATAGTTCTGAAGTACAGCATATGATTTAGCTAAAAGGCCAGCATGTGATGATGCAAAAAGTACACTTCAGAAATGTATTTTATTTATACACTGCGTCAAGGAGTATTGTACATTTTGCCAAGAAAGTAACCCTTAAACAAATGCCGATATATGAAAGACAAACACTGAAAAGTTGAAGCACTTCAAGAAATGTTTTAATTCTAGTTCAATCATGAATTGATTAAGTATTAGCAGATTAAGTAACAAAATAAAGCTGTAATTTCATGCTTTGGTGCCAGGTGGAAACATCACCAATTGCAAATAGTTCAGGTACATGCTTCAAAGCATCATAGACAAACAAGAGAATTCATAGCATCCATACCTTCACGACAAAAATATTACAAGATGAAACTTCCTCCAGATACTTCTTATGAACAGAGTCAAGATACAAAACGTCAGAGTAGCCATTCTCTTTAGCTCTCTTTTGTGCTTTCAGGACCTACATAAAGATGAGCAGAGAGGAATCATATTACCAAGAATGTAGACCATAACAATCCAAGTTTTACTAAGGACTTGAACTTGAAATTGCCAAAGCTTATCACTTAGCACTTTCAATTGCACTAAGAAACAACTCATGATGGAATAAAATGATAAAAGACATTAATATTTAATACAACATCAACATTCACATGCAAGGGCCTCAAGGTTGCTAACCTAAGCAAAAAACATGGTCTTGGAGAAGTGGCCCTTTATCATTGATTGTACTGCTACATCAAAATCATTTATCATCTCTAAAAACCCTGCCCATTTCTCGAGTATATTAGCTGCTATAAAACAGCTGAAAGGATTATTAACCATGAAGTACTGCATAACTAACAACTTCCAGTTTGCTTTTCTGGATGTCTTGGTTAGGATTATGCAATTTATCCTCCAAATTAAGCATTATAGGAGGGTTTTGAGAATTATGCAATTACTCCTCCAAATTAAGTATTATAGGATGGTGGACTACAAAGTTTTGAAGTTTTACAAAACATGTGGCCAGAAAAAAATTCAAAATTTCATTTTTTATTGTTGTTCTAGGACATACATGTGACGAATTTCATAAATACATAAAGAAAACAGGACAATAAATAAAAAAAATCAAAAGATCATACTTAATAAAAAATTGCAATACCAAATGCACCTGACCACAATGTACTCCTTGTTCTTTTGTATTCTTTTTCAAATTTTAATATAAAAAGTATAAAGCCAATTTCTAGATAAAATCAATGTATAAAGCCAATGTACTTCTACCGTCCGAATCCATCTTTAAAAATATTCATGCTCGATCATATAGATAAACAAAATATAAAAGATACAGAGGAATTAGTTGAATTAAAACACTTCCAAGACATAAACAAGTGGTTAGGCAAACATTTCTCCGTAGAGAACATGTTTCTTGTCTCGGTGCTAGTCATTTAACCTGTAAGCTAAGATAATTTGAAGGCAGCCATGTTGGTAGTAGGAGTTAAGTATGAACAAGGGAGGACCTTAATGGAGACTGCCAGGGTGAGTGCAAACAAATATTTCTTTACATCTTTCTCCACTAAAAATATTAGCAGGTTTCACCATTTTAAGATCATAATTCTTTTTCTATTGTAGTTTTTCTTTATTACAACTATACTTGATTTCTTTGAATTTTATAAAAAAAAATCACCATCAATGTTATCATCAGGCTGCCAGACAGATTGAGTCATCATACCTCTTAAGTGCCTAGCCCTCTTTGGATTTCAAGCCAAGCAATCACTGAAACACCTAGATGAGACCTTTGATTTTCCCTTGTTACATTTGAAGGTAATTTTTTTTCAAAAAAATCACAAAAATTAGCATGCTTGTCATTTTAGGTAATGCAACATGTGCAGGTCTTGTTTATGTACTTAGTACAGAAGGAAAGAACATATTTATACATAACATGAATATGTTGAATTATACATACTCTTAATCATGCATGTTCTTAGCCATAATGCACATTGGATCTTCATCGTTACAATAGTGTTTATACTTATTTTTTGCTAGTAGTTCTATGCAGCACTTTAAAAATATCATCAAATAAGTCACCTATAAAATTTAGAATGAAAATCTAACAACTCTTAGAATTAAAATTGGATGACCAATATGAAACAATGGGTAATAAAAATTACATCATATAAATTTACAGTAAAAAGTTAATGCAGAAAGGCTGCATATGTTCATAATATGTTTTGTGACAATGTACAGATTATTAAAATATTTTGCAAGCAATTTTTATATACAAGCACCAAATCTAATATTATCTTAAGAACTTTTCTCTAAGCATCTGCCGGTGTGCCTAAGTTTTCCACATAAGCTTGTTAAAGGATTACTGCTCATGACTGCCTAAGCATGTTAACAAATTATGTTTTTCATGTTCTACTGAATTTAGTGTGAAATCCCTCTTTCATAAATGAAGCCTGCACAAACTTATCAATTTAATGGAAGTTTCTGCATTCTAAACATTATGAGGAACTGAATCATTACACTAAACAACTTTGAAGAAATGAAGAATAAACTAAAATAGTATATAACTAGCAACTTCCATGGCGAGCAAGTGCAATGCCTTCTTTATGAGCTCTATAAAGTATAAACTACACAC